TATTTTCCTACTCTGAATTCTCTTTATTATTATAAAGGAATCACATTGACTTTTGGATACTACTGATCTTATATCATGACACCCTACTAAACTGGTCCACTAGCTCTAACACTTTTTGTTGTTGTTGAGTCCTTGGGGTTTTCTTTATATACTATCATATCATCTGCATATTGTGACAGTTTAACCATCTCTTTGCCAATAAGGATGCCTTTTATTTCCTCCTCTTGTCATATTGTCCTAGGAAGTACTTCCAATATAATATTAAAAAGAAGTGGTGGCGCTTGGCACCCTTGTCTGGTCCCTGTTCATGCAGAAAATTATTTTAATATTTCTCCATTAAGAATGATATTGACTCTTGGTTTTGCATCTACACTTTTCACTATGTTTAGGAAATTCTTTTGTGTTCCTATTTTCTTAATCAGGAAGGGGTATTGGATTTTTGTCAAATGCCTTTTCTGCATCATTTTCTAGAATCATATGTTTATTTGCTTTGTTAATATGATAAATTACACTGATTGTTTTTCTTATGTTGAACCATCCTTGCATACTTGTTATGAATCTCACTTGGTCATGATGAATTCTTTTTTTCTGTGCTTTTGGATTCCATTGGCTAGGATTTTGTTAAGGATTTTTGCATCTATATTCACGAGAGATAATGGTCTGTATTTTTCTTTTTTGGTAATATTTTTGCCTGGGAGATAGAATAATTTTAAAAGCACTTTGTCCTTTTACTGAAAAAGATCTTCAAGATGAATATTGAGTTATAGAAAAATTATTATCAAATATCATAATTATTTTTAGTATACTTGCAAAAAATCTGAAGATTTTGGATTTGGAATCATTCATAAAAATAAAATACATCTCTTTATTATCTAAAGATATTTTATCCTCTAATGTTAACTACTAATGTGTATAAACAAGAAAAGTTCCAAAATTATCTTTCTTCTGTCTACTCTGTCCCATAATCTATTGCATACCTACTTATATGGATTAAGGGTTTTTTCTTTTTATACATAACTTTTACATAAGGTTTTGTTGAATACCTCAACTAAACTTCTAAACAAATACTAATTTAATTAAAATCAATTACAGGCAATATTGCTGACTAACTTTTAAAGTACTGTGGTTAAAAATATCCTTTTTTCAGAATAAAATAGTGCAAATACTTCAAAGAAAATAGTGCTGGAAAATGTTGTAATTGTGAATTGAATTACTTCTTTTTCTGTCAAACTTTCACAGTAATAGGAGTTGTCTTTTCTTTCCTTTTAATTGAAAAAGAAAAAAGTAAAATAATTCTAGTTTAAAGTTGATTTTTCTTTTGTCTAATAATCTGTAGTTTTCCTTTAACCTTGCACAATACTCTGTTATGGAAAATATTTTTTAAAAAAACCAACTCTGTAATGATGGAAGGGAGCCTCATCCCTGAACTCACTTGTTTACCAACTTAGAAGCCTAGATCCATAGAGGCCACTCACCAAGATCATATCAATTTTTATCTGCGTAGCTTTATTGGGAAGGTTGTACACCATGGATGTGTCCTATCTCCATACCTTTTCAATCTATATGCAGAACAGATTATTCAGGAGGCTGGGCTCTATGAGGAGAAATGTGGCATAAGGATTGGAGAAAGACTCATCAACAATAAGGGTTATGCACATGACACAACCTTGCTTGCTGAAAATAAGGAGGATCTGAAGTACCTGATACAGAATGTCAAGGATTAAAGCTCAACTATCAAGTAAACTAAGATTCTCACCACTGGAGCAATTGGCAGCATCACGATAGATAGAGAAGAGATTGAGATTGCTCCACGATCAACACTCCTGGTGCCAGAAGCCAGGAAATTAAAAGACTTATTATAAAGGGAAAGTTTGCAGTTGGAGATCTCTCCAAAGTATTGAAGAGCAATGAAGTCAGTTTGGAGACCAAGGTGTGCCTGATACAGGCTATGGTCTTTGCAATCACTTGTTATGTATCAGAAAGATGGACAATGACTAGGGATGATAGAAGGAGAATTGATGCCTTCAAGCTGTGGTGTTGGACAAGAGGACTGAAGAGTATTGACAGCTAAGAGAACTAACAGGTTTGTCCTGGAGAGGGTTAAACCAGGCTGTTCCTTGGAGGCAAGAATTTTGAAGCTTCATCTGACATAATTTGGACATGTTGCAAGGGAGGGACCAGTCTTTGTAGAGCGACGTCATGCTTGAGAGGGTGGAGGGACAGCACAGGAGAGGAAGACCCTCTATGAGGTGGATTGATTCAGTGACTGGGGTAATGAGGGTAGGTGCGTTGGAGACAGTGTGATTGGCACAGGATAGAGTAGGGTTTAGGGCTGTTGTACAAAGAGTCATTATGAGTCAAAGGCAACTCGACGGCACATAACAACAATAATAACAGCAGCTTGATTGTGTTTCTGTGCAATATGTCTTTTGAGTAAAGTGATGTGTGTGTGCATGCTTGTGTGTGTGTATCTATATATTTTCAATAAAGAAGCTGAATGTCAAAGAGTTTAAGAGGTAGTCAAGTCTCTTTACTATCAGCTACCACAAGATGCATTGCAAATTAACCTGTTGCTATGTACTGTTGAGTGGAAACCAACTCATAATTGACCCTCCAGTATGTTTTCAGAGAATATAAATAAAACAAAAGAATGCTCACTGTTCTTCCATGCAGCAGCAGGTAGAGTTGACCCATGTGCCTCTGGTTTGGCACTGCAACTCTTTACCACTAAGCTACCAGAGCTCCCTGGAGATAAAACTAATACACGTTTGTTTTTGTTTTTCTTCTCTCTCTCTCATGCTGTTGAAACAGAATAGAGAAACGGGGTTTTTTGTAACATAGTCAAATCCAACTGGTTGCTATCTACATATATTAAGTAAGACTGCATTTAAGGGTCACTTCACCATTCATTTCACAAGAAGACTAGTATGTCACTAAAACAATTAAAAGCCACCAAAACTTTGATTGTAAACATGTAGGCTGTTTATTAGATATAAATTTAGATGCAGTTTTGGAAATTCATTAGGTTTATTTTTATTTTATCAATAGTATACCTCCAAACAAGGTCTCTTCTCTAGAGAGAATAGCTAGATGAAAGCCTCTGGAAAGAAACAATGTCACATCATTGCATTTTTGACATTAAGACTAAATAATGTTATTGTTTGGTTTCCTTTGTTCTTAAACAAAGATGCCAGAACTCTTGGATCTAAGTAAATGTTGTCCTCATCAAAGAAGATTCTCAAAAGTAAGTCATTCAAAAAACATTGTGATGACCAAAACACTTCACAAATTTTTCCAAAGGAAGCATTTTCAGACAATGGGAAACAATTGCTAAATTTCTTCAATAATTGGTTATAAATCTTTTCTACAACCTTATGCCCGTGAAGATGGTTTTAACATTAAGAAACAGTAAGTCTTAACAGCACAGTGAGTGACTAAGCTGAATACTGAAAAAGAACATTGGCAATAGATGAATAGATAAACTGTAGTACGTACATGCAAAGGATTACTGCTCAGTCATTAGGAGAAAGGAAGTCATATATAATATAATATAATGTGGATGAACCTAGAAGTCATACTGAAGGAAAAAATCAATCATAACAGTTCAAATATTGTATGACTTCACTTATATATAAAAAAGACAAAAAAATGTAAGTAAGCTGAGAACAAGGATTATTATTCTTGCCAAAAGTGGAAAGGAAGGAGAAGGGATAATAATGGTCACATAAATATAATACTGCAAAGGAGCAAAAGTGTGTTTGAGATGGCTAGGTTGGCACAGGATAGAACATTGTTTAGAGCTCTCGTACATGGGGTCGTTACGAGTCACAAACGACTTGATGGCACATAACAACAACAACAACTACATATCTTGGGAGAGACAGGAGAGCATTACACTGAGGGAAATAACTCAGTCCCATAAGGACAATTACTGTATAAAACCATTACTGTAGAATGAAAATGAGGTTTCAAGGGGAGGTGGGGGTGGAGGGTGAAAGCAGAGGGATGAGGATGTGCAGGGGGCAGGGGCAGAATTAATCATGGACTCACAGAATTTCATGGATAGTGGGGGTTAGCAAAATGGAAGTAAATGATGTGAAAAACAATGTATTCAAATTTTGTAAATAAACTATTATAATAACAAAATAAATATAATACTGAGTAGACTTGCACAGCTGACTATGCAGTTTGAACCTAACAGCCCTCCAAGAAGGAAGATAAGGCAATCGCCTCTCAGTAAGATTTACAACTTCAAAACATGGTAGAGAATTGCCATGAATCAGGACGTACTGGACAACAATGGGTTGGGCTGATTTTTTTTTTAAGGTAATAGTTGCATACCCGTAAAAAGGTAATTGCCAAAAATGATGTGACCAATATATTTACAAAATGGAGGAAAAAAACCCAAAAATGAGTAGGTGCTGTAAGGCTGTTTACATACAACCAAATACCTCATGGGACGAGTTGATTTCTTGGTTTGAAGGCTAAAGACTATGGTTTCATGAGATATGACAGTTAATAACATGCTTCATTCTTCTATGCTACTTTCCAGTTCAAGCATAGTTCCCAAGGTCTTAAAGCTTATAAGTGGCTAACCAAGATAAAACAGCTGGTCTCTATTTTCTTGGAAAAACAGAGAAGAGTCAAGAAAAGAAAGTTATGAATTTTAAGGCTAATAGCCTCTAAGTACAATTGCCTCTTGGCTATCAGAGATGACTTTTTGCCAACAGAACTAGATGTTTCCTGGCTACCATTATTGAACATTTTAGCCACAGACTCCATAAACTTCTGATTCAAAAGGAGAATTTAAAGAACAGAATTTTAAATCCTTATGGACGCCAGGCTTCCTAGATTCATAAAGTTCAGATAAGACTCTGAAACAACTGTACTGAGACAATCTCCATATTCTGATGCATATGACAAGTCTTTGTACAGAGTGAGGTTTTATACAAGCAAAACAAGCACAGGCAATAGTAAAAGCAAAGTGTCAGCTCATTTACCTTCCAGAGGTCAGCAGATCCTTCCACCAACTTGGCTCTGGTGTGACAATACTTCAGAGCCAACTGTAAGCACTCAGTTCCAAACTCCAAGTCATGATCACTACACTGTAGGCAAAGAAGGAAAAAAAAATACAACAGTTAGATACCAATATAAAGAAATCTCTTTGTCTTACAATCATTTGGAAATAAGGAAGACAAATAAGCTACAAGGTTTTAGTTTCAACTACTGACTAATTAAATTATGCAATACTTGTTCACTAAGAAGCTATACCGACAACACAAAGGCTTTGGTTCAAATCCACCAGCTGCTCCTTGAGAGAAAGATGTGCAATATCGCCTGATGCAGATACAGCCTACAGGAACACCTGGAGTTGGTTCCAACTCAATGGTACATAACAGCAACAACAAGACTTAAAAACTAAACAAAAAAATAAAAATGTTACAATAATTATTAAGAGTTTTCAGATATTTGATAAATGACATTTATTCCTTCTGCTCCATTTATTCTATTTTCTAGAATTGTTTATAAAATGCCTGAAAGTATGATTAAGAATTGCTGTGTCAAAAGCTCTGGATAAACGAATATATTTGACTATAATGCTCAAGGCCCTTATTTTATTCATACTAAGACATATTTGGGTGATAAATCTCTTGCTGATTTAAAATATCAGCATAATCTTTTTGAAGAACTCATATTTTGGCATTTTCATTTCATTTCACATATATAAAGTGTTCTGTTTTTCTTGAGAAGAATTTTAAAATGACTCAAATTTAGAAAAAATGTTCTTAAAAATTAAACAGCTTAGGCAGAACAATAGAAATCACTAAGAAATAAAGGAGGTGAGGGAGTTGATGTCAAATCAACTTTAAATCACGGTGAACGTATGTTTGTTAAACTTGGCTTGTGTTTCACAACGTCTTCAATATCATACTTTTTAGAAACATATTCTTTCTTCTAAAGTAGAACTAAGTTAACTTGAATTTCCAACTCTGAGCCTATGAATCCTTTACACCATCAAAAACTTTGATCAATTGCTGTTATGTACTGCTGAGTCAAAACTAATTCATAGCTGACCTTCCAGCAGGTTTTCAGAGGCTGTAAATTGCAAGAGAGAAGATTATCCTTTTCCTGTTGAGCAGCAAATGGATTAAAATTGTGAGCCTTTGGGTTGGGACTACAATTTCTTACCATTAAGATACCAGAGCTCCTTTGACCAAATGATATTATGAAATAATTCATCTCATTAATAGTCACTGAATCCCTATTATATCCAAACCTTGTTTTCAGTACAAGTAAATATAAATGAGACATGTACTATGTCCTTGAAATTCAACTTCCAAGAAAATGTATATAGCTATCAAACAATTTGCACAGAATGGGATATATATAAATCACTTACACAATGTCCAAGTAGCCCAGTGGTAAAAATATGTAAGCCCTTGTTTTTGTTGTTAGGTGACACTGTGTCAACTATGATTCATAGCAACCTAATCAGCTGAAGACCTGAACCTTGTCTTATCCTGTTCCATTCTCAAAAGCTCTGATATACTCAAGATTGTTGTTATAGTCACTGTATCACTCCATCTTGTTGAGGGTTTTCCTCTGATCTTGTGACATTCCACTTATTCCAGCATGATGTCTGTTGCCAAGCACTGGCCCTTCCTGAAAACATGCTCAAAGTACATGAGACAAAGTTTAACCATCCTTCTATGGTACTTTCACACAATGAAATACTATGCATCACTGAAAAATAATAACAAACTCAGCAAACACTATACAATATGCATGAATCTAGAAGACATTATGTTGAGTGAAATATCTTAGCCACAAAGGGACAAATGTCACATAAGCCCATTATAGTAACAACAGGATAAAGATGGAAGAAAAGGGAAGATCAGGAAAAGAGAATTAATACTTCACTAGAATGAGTGAAAGGAAGTACATTCTGAAATGAACTGACACTTAAAAACTAAGTCTATGAAGATTAACAGTCTACAAAGAGGAATTGGGGAGGGGATGGATGAGGAAGGAAAGTCTGCATAAATGAACAAATACTAAAAAAAAAAAGTAAAAACCATTTCCCATACTTGCCTCTAAAGGGCAACCCTGTGTGCACTTCCTCTGAGACAGACTTGTTTGTTCATTCCACAGTCCATGAGATATCCAATACTCTTCCCCAATTTTACCATTCAAAGGCATCAATTCTGTAATCCTTGTTCACTGTCCACCTTGAAAAGACCATGACTTGGATCAGGTGCTCCTTGGTTTTAAACTGTCATCCTTGTTCTTCAGCACTATGGAGAGGTCTTTTAAAGTAGATTTCCTCAAAACAGGTCTTTGAATTTGTTGATTTCCAGGGCCTTAGGTGCTGATTGTGGATCCAAATAAAATGAAATCTCCAACAACTTCAATATTTTCTTTTTCTATCATGATGTAGCTTATCAGTCCAGGGGTGAAGACTTTTGTTTTCTTAAAGATAATATGTAATCCAAATTGAAAAGGCTGTGATTTCTACAGCAAGTGTTCCAAGTCCTCTTCACATTCACCAAGCAAGTTTGTGTCATTTGCATAATGCAGGTTGCTGACTTGCACCCTTTTCAGTGGTCCACTAAATAAATATTATATCTAAAATACACTATAGTAAAGTCCACAGTCAACATTACTCATCTACAAACCACAAAAGTCCAAACTGTACCTAATACTTAAATATAAGCAGAAAAAAAGGGAATTATCTCACAGTCTAGAAAGGACTCTATTATGAAAAACAAAGTCAAAAGACAAAATAAAATTTAAAATACTTGTTTTGACCTCTCCAAAGTACTGAAGAGCAACGACGTCAGTCTGGAAACTAAGGTGCAACTGATATTTTGCAATCACTTGCTATGTATCAGTGAACTGGACAAAAACTAGGGATGATAGGAGAATTGATGCCTTTGAGCCATAATGCTGGAGAAGAGTATTGAATATTCCATGGACTGCTAAAAGAACAAACAAGTTCGTCCTAGAGAGGGTGAAACCAGGCTGCTCTTGGAAGCAAGTACTCTGAAGCTTCATCTGACATACTTTGGACATGTTGCAAGGGAAGGACCAGTCCTTGGAGAGGGATGTCATGCTTGGGAGAGTGAAGGGACAGTGCAGGAGAGGAAGACCCTCGAGATGGATTGATTCAGTCACTGGAGTCGTAGACAATAAGATTGGCAAGGAATAGGGCAGGGCTTAGGACTGTTGTACATAGGGTCGCTATGAGTTGCAGACAAATCAACAGCACATAACAATAACAATTATGTGCAAACAGAGGCAAACACACTGCTGTAGACATGGTTCTGCTTCATTGTTGCTGTTAAGTTCTGCAGAGTTGGAACTGACTCATAACTGAGCCTCCAGTTGGTTTTTGTTGTCTTCTTGTTGGGTACTGTCAAGTCAGAACCAACCCATAGCTGACCCTCTTGCAAGTGTTCAGAGGCAATTAATCTCATGGGAGGAGATTGCCCATTCTTCTCTCACAGAGCCGCTGGTGGATTCGAACCAAAAGCCTGCAAGATTGCAGCACAGCTTCTTGCCACTAGGCCACCAGTGGATTTTTAGAAAATCCCATGGATTTTTAGAAGCTGTAAATCACATCAGAAGGGATTATTCATATTTCTCTTGCAAAGCCACTAGTGGATTTAAACCACGAAAGAGATGTGACCTCCAGCTTAGCAGCACAATTCCCTAAGGCCTATGAGACCACAACTCTCTAGTTGTGGTCTGAAGACTACAATTGGAAAAGAAATAATGCCCAGACACACTAGAATAAATAGAAACTGTACACCCTCCACAGCTTATTTCTAGGTTTGAAAGCTGAGGATCCAATAGTATTGACATAATAAAGGTCAGAAAACTCATGCCCCTTCATGAAATAAGTAGTGTCTAGGATCTTAAGAGCTTCCAAGCACTCGTTTAAGTACAACGTTTGGTCTCTACACATCAGGAACAAAAAAATAAGAAGGTAACCAAATTCTCAGAGATAAAAATAAGTCTCAAAACAGACAACCTACATGAGTTACAGATTTATCTACTCTGAGACCAAAGAACTGGATGGTACCCAACTATCACCACTGACTATTCTGATCTGGTCCACAAGAAATGATCCTGGATAGGGGGATTGTATAACAAAACTCAAATTCTTAAGAAATTCTGATTATACAGACCAGCCAAGACCACAGGACTCCCTAAGACTATCTCCCTAAGATACTCTTTAAACCTTGAACCAAAACTTGTTGTTGTTGTTGTTGATTGCTATCAAGTCAAGCAAGACTCATAGCAACCCTATGAACAAAAGGCCTGAAGCCTTTTTATAACTATTGTCATTCTCTAAGTTCAGTGAGTTCCCAGAGGCACGTGGTTTATGAAGTGTATGCCACTCACTCCTGCTTCCAAACTTGTCTTAAACTGGACCTCCACCAAACACTGTCCACCATGAGCAGCCAGTATGGTATTTGACTAGCCACTGTAATTACTTATAAGTGAAATAATAGAATTGTAGTGTTAAAGTTGGTTTTTATTTTAGCCATTACCTTAGCTTTCTCTGGTCTCCAGCTACCTTAACTGAGGACACATTATCTTGCTTATCCTCCACAGCTATGGGTGAGGATGAGAAAGAGAGTGCTTCCTACACTGAATGGCAAGACTTGTTGAAGATTGAAACAAGACCCTGGTGATGGTGGAGGAGAGGTAGTGGCACTGTTGTGAAGAAAGTGTGGCAAGGATCCCTGACATAAAAGTCAGTTACAGGTTTTGCTGTGCTTGCTGAATCATTGAAGCAGGAGCTGACTTATAACTGTTCTGAGGTTAAACCTTGCAGGATGATTGAGGAAACCTGAGGCTTCTTGAATTTGTGTTACTGAATGGGAACCAGGACTTCTACTGTTTTATTCTATTTTGCTGTTAATCTGGTTTAGGACTGCTGGACTAAACCTGAATTTGCATTGTAAGATATCCTTTGCTTCTTCCAATCCCCAACCTATTTCTCTAAATAAACCCATCTTGGTACCACAATTGTGAGTAAAGCCTGTGAGCCAGCAATGAATAAATGAACCTCTTGCTGCTGGTGTGGCTCTGGAGG